AGAAATGCGTAAGTCACTTTAGCAGAGATATCACAAATGGAAATAAACGGTTTTCCAAAACAAAAACATTCAGATATATTTCATTCTTGATCAGACAAAGCATTTTATGGTACCGTTGTGAATCAGGCATGCCACTCTATCAGTGGATAGGGTCAGTAAAAATTACATTTACTGTCGTGGAACTCTGTAAAAATCAATGATCTTTTGGAACAAGCCACTACTATAACATCAAATTGACAATTAAAACTATTTCATATTTTATTCAACTACAAAGCACGAGATAATACAAATAAATAAATCACAATTTACTATGTATTTGGACCCGCCTAACCAGGGTAGGTTGTTTTAATTGGTTGGCCCACTATAAACGAATGAGAATTGCAGATAAAAACAATGTACATTGTACATTTTAAACTTAAACTAATATTAAATTGTACGTCTCCAAAATTAATTTTAGTTAACTCTACTGAGTCTACATTTTTAGTAAAATCAGATGTTTTTTTCATTTGAGATGTAACAGGATATTATTCATTTATTTACAGTTTGCACAGTATAATTTATTTTTAAATGCTTTTTTCCTGTACACTTGAAACGTATATTAACCTTTCTCTGGATTGATTGGGGGACTGTTTATTCATTTATTGTTTTATTTATTTTTAATTGTTAACATATATCATTAACAAGATAATTTGAGTTTACGACTTTTCAATTTTCAGACGATTCAATTTTATTCATTATTTTCAATGGTATTCATTTTATTCATTATTTTTCCTGTTTATATGAATTCATTTTATTCATCATTTTTTCTGTTTATATGAATTCATTTTATGCATTTTTTTCCTGTTTATATGAATTCATTTTATGCATTATTTTTCCTGATAATACGAATTCATTGCTTTCATTATTTTTCCTGTTTATATGAATTCATTACTTTCATTATTTTTCCTGTTTATATGAATTCATTGCTTTCATTATTTTTCATGTTTATATAAATTCATTTTATTCATTATTTAATAATATGAATTCATTTTATTAATTTTTCCTGAAGTTATGAATTAGTTTTATTCACTATTTCTGTTAATAAGAATTTTTTGTTTTCAGCATTGTTCAGCAGTCCATGCACGCAGTTTAACAACAAGGATTTAATGGATAAAGTGGTAAGTGGAAGATTTCATCACATATAATTATATTTTAGTCTTTCATTGGCTAAATTTTTGAGTGCTCTTTTTTATTTTAATTTAGAATTTATATTTGCCTGAAGACTAGTTAAAGGGACTGTAGAGTGTATTCTTTAATTACAAACCTTTTTGTCAGAACATTGACGACGGTCGGATAGAGAAATATGTATTTTTTTAGCTAAATGTGTGTGCAACCTATACCAAGAAGTATATTGTGGGAACCTCAATCAATTGACTTCACAAATTTTACGAAAATTTCAAATATTCTATGTTTCAAATTAAAATCTTATTTTTTTTTTGGCTCCAAAAAAATGTTCGATAGAATAAGGATAACTCTGCCGTCCTTGATCAGTGTGTCTATGTAAATCGTAGATACTACTCACTTGACGTCTACAGACCCTTCAATAACCGGTTACTTCAGTTAAGTTAGTTATATTTTTTTCAGCCATTTCAGTACTTGATAAACTTAATTGGTAATCTAAGGATCGAATCTTTGCAAGAGCATGGTCTTTAAATAAACAGAAGCTCTGAGTCTGCTAGGTTTTCCATTATTCGGAAAAGAATGTAATTTTCTGTAAAGAGGAATTCCGAATAATTCCAGACTAAAATTCTGGAAAATTTACGGGAAAACTTTCCTGAAATTTCAAGTAACTTTATCGTTTTAGAATTTTATTGATCACGGTAGCCTGGAAATATTTGTTTGAGCATAAATGATGTAGATGGGAACGCTTGATTAGGGATGGGCATCGGTTTCTAAAACGACCGGATAAACGATTGAGTTTTATACTTTTGAAAACGAAAAACGAAGGACAAAATTAAAGTTTTGAGGCCAAAATTATAGGTTTTGTTGAAATTTTAGTTTAACAAATTTTTTCGTTCGAAGCAAGGTTTGTAGATTCAAAATTTTATTTTTCATTTAAATATGCTGTATTTGTCGTTTTTATTCAAAAACGATCGTTTCCAAAACGATCGTTTTCAAATTTTTTTTCATTCTAAAGCTATCGTTTTTCCATTTTTGAAAAGATTCGCTTTTTCTTCTTTAAAACTATCATAACTTAGTTTCATCCCTTTCAAATAAGATAATTTTCAAAAAACGATCGTTATATTTTTAGATTTTTAGTCAAAACGAAACGAACATTTTTCAAATAAGTCGAAACAACCCATTCCTATGTTTGATATTTATGTTTGATTGCTGTTTCCATATTTTATTATGCACAAGAGACGTGAAGGAAAATTAACAGAATTTGTTTAATTCTCAAATGGAAAAAACGAAGAAATTCTCTTTCATTATTTTTTAAATAATTGTTCAAAGGGGACCGTTGTGAATCGGACATATACCCTTTTTATGTAGGATCATTTTTAACAATGACCTTCCTTTTAGTAATAATTGTCATGCATCCATTTTCACAATTGAAATAGAAAGTTTTGCTGACTGAACAATTGAAAAAACCTTGTCAAAAAAGTCATTTAATTTTAAATGTGTTCCATATAATAATTTACTTTTCTCTTCCGGATCGCGTAATGCCGAGAATTTAGTTTTTGACGTCATTTGCGGTCCGGAGGGAAAACGTGTGCACACCGCACACGTTTTCCCTCTCTCGTGCAGGGGGAAGATATCCCGCCCAATTTGATAAATGTTATTGTTAACGATAAATTTAGAATTAGAAATTTGTAAGAAACTAGACTTAAGTTATAATATTGTTCATATCTAGTAATGTTCCTTAATCAATACTCATTTATCAAAATTGTAATATTGTTCCTAATTTTCATGCATTTAAGTATAACTAGTAATTTCTTTTTGTTCTTAAATTGCTAATGTTCCTATTATTGTTCCTGTTCCTAATACTGTGTCCGACCCACCTTAAATCCCTGTCCTAATCCTATATTTTTGTTCCTAATTCCTGAACAATCTGTTTATTGTTCCTAAATCCCTGTCTTAATCCTTTAATTTTGTTCCTAATTCCTGAACAATCTTTTAATTGTTCCTAAATTCCTGTTCTTATCCTTTAATTTTGTTCCTAAAATTTAAAAATCTAGTTTTTTAGTCTTAAGTCATTAATTTTGACTCTTTTTGAGGCTTTTAAGTCAAAAATTTTTTTTCCCTAATTATTCATTTTTTTGTTCCTAAAAAATCTTGCCCCCCCCCCTCACTTAAATCCTGTATCCGCCCCTGATCCCGCCAAATCTACAAGAATTTTACACAAGACGACACTAATCACACTCAGGTTTGGGAAAAACCCGGGTTTTTTTTTGTGTTTTTGGGCTTTTTTTGTGCTTTTCAATTTGAAAGTAAGATAAAACCTACTAAATCAAATACTAATTCATAATAATAATAATAGACTATTTAAGCAATATGTGAAAAATAATAAGGGGGCCTTCATTGGGGTAATTCTGCAATTTTTTGATAATAATGTTCTATGAATTTCAGTCTACTTTAATTTTCTCACTTACATATTTCTGATTGGAGGGTGGGGCGACTCAGATTAATCAGAAGAAATTTATATGCTCAAGAAGGAGGGCTACTAGATGAATGATTAAGGGATTTTATATCCTCATTCTATCGCAACATATTTTGTATATCCTTATTCTATCGCAACATATTTTGTATATCCTTATTCTATCGCAACATATTTTGTATATCCTTATTCTATCGCAACATATTTTGAAGAAAAGGCAATAATTAGAAAAATTCTAAAAAAGGACAATAAAACCCCAAGGAAGCCTACTTACAGGTTTTTTTTAAAGTGGGTTTTATTGGGTTTTTTGGGGTGTTTTTTTTGGGCTGGGTTTTTTTCATGCCATCCCTGATGACACTTTGTGTAGAGTGGAGTAGAGAATATGGTTCTGTTTGTTGGCTCATCATCTATTGATCAGTGCAGGATAAAGGTCGAGGAACTGTTCCACTATGATCTCTGCATAGAAAGGTCATGATATTAGATCAGTTTTCCAAATAATTCGGAGGGGGGGGGGGGGGATTAGGATTTATACTGATAATTTTTTTTCTCCATTTTTCGTTATTTTTATCCAAAATATCTTTTTTTTCGTTAATACAATTATGTGTTGCCCAAATTAGCTAACAACTCTTTAAAAAGTAAATCCACTCCGCGCCAAAATAAAAAAAATTCAAGATGGGGGAAATGTATATTTTTGATCTATTTGCTTATTCTACTTTATTTACTTAATTTTCAACATATTAGTTGGATAATTCAATATTTTCATTTCTTTGGTGGTTTTAGATCTTATTCGAATTTATTTTGGATGTTTTCTATTTGATGGATATTTTTCTCGAGAAATAAGATAAATGAAATAAGATCTGAGATAGTTCTATTAAAAGAATCCTCTGTCCCCTAAGGATGTTTTCTCATGTTGTTAGAATTGATCTGAATATATCTGAATATATTTCTATATTTTCCTATTTATATATTTATATCTAAAGAAAACCAAAATTTTAAGCTGAAAGGAACTGTAGAACTTTTCCTTTATTATGCCAGATTCAGATTCCCTGAAAAACATTGTTTAATCAAGAAAGAACGAGATTTCCATATTTATTCATTTAAAGATTGATTGTTTCAAGCGGTGGGTTATCTGCAAAGATGACCTGATACAGAACCAAAGGAGGAAATAGTCAGAATAGAACACTTTTACAGCTAGAAAATTATAAATCAATGAAAGTATCAAGGGTTCCGATGTTAATCGGACATACCTATCTAGATGAAAGGTGACTACAGTTCCTAAATAAGTTAATACAATGGCATGCCCTATAAGTTAGATTTTTCTGTATTTTCAACTCTCCAAATATATATATTTAAGATACCGCCAGTTCACAGATGAGTTGGTGTGTATTAAGAATACCAACCCACCTCATCCACAACTAAGCTATTATGCGTTCTCTACATACTGGTATCTCATTCAAGTCTTAAATCTACCTTCTCAGCACTCTTTACAAAGGTAATAAAACATATCTTGTGCCAACATTGACCTCATACTGCAAATGCCCTTTTTGCTACCTGTCATGTTTGATGTATAACATTTTTGCTTTCCTTGGTTTTACGATGTTTTTTATATATATTTAATTTGCTTGTCTTTCCGTTTTTTTGTTTGTTTGTGTGACCTCACATGATACCAGGGAAGGTTTATGGAGCCGAGAATACAAATTGGAGGAGAAAATTCTGGAAAATGCGCCAATTGAAAAAGAAAAGTCCGTCAAAATTTGAAAATGATTTAAAATGGTCGACTTTCAGTTTCAAAGCAACTGTGAATACTAAAAAAACAGAAGAGGGCGTGAAAGCTCTAAAGGCCTAGTAAAATATACTTTCCTATTCTGTAAAAACCGCAGTGCTACTGCTTATACCATTACCACTACTCTCGCCACGCATTGCTTTGCAAAAAATGACGTTATTAAACTGCCGTACCGTCATCCCAAAAATCCCATTTTGGAAGAAAAATTTCGATAAAAAATGGGTTACCTAATAATTGAGCCAATTTAGTCCAGTCGTTTGGCCAGCTACAGCTAACTTAAAATATATTTATGAGCGAAGAGCTTTATTATATAGATTGTCCTCAACAAACGTGTATTACAATGTTTCAAACTTTCAGTTTGTTATTTTTATCTAAAAGCCAACCCCCTCACCCCCACGGCAGGGTATTTAAGGGAGTCGGGACTGGTTTTCGTCACAATACTCCTCTTAAAATGTTTATGATCTTGTGTTCATGGTGAGAATGGACAAAATCAATATATTCTGATAATCTTTTCATTTACAAATTTGTATAAATTGTAGCTTGCATTTATTTATAATGTGTTCATTTCTAATAACTTTTCCCGTTCATATATTTAACCTCTACATAATGCGCACACTTTATATAGCTCATAGTGTACATAGGTTTCGTACAGGAGACAAAGACTGCAAAAAAATCATACATATATATATATATATATTTGTATTATCTTCTTAAAATACTAAAAAAATTTTAGGAGACTCATGGGTGGTACCCTGAGGGTAACATAGGCTAAAAATATTCAAATTCGAGAAATAATTACAGTATATGACACAAAATGAAGATAACTAACGTTTATCTTGTTAAGATATGATGACGCGTCTAGAGATCTTTGCACCAAGTCAAGGTATGTCTAAAATTAAAACTATTCGCTGTTCAAGTTAATGTTACAGGTCACATTTCAGATTTTAAAAGCTCTTTGTTTAACAAGATCAATATGTGTTTAACAAGCTTGACATGTGTTTAACAAGCTTGACATGTGTTTAACAAGCTTGATATGTGTTTAACAAGCTTGATATGTGTTTAGCAAGCTTGATATGTGTTTAGCAAGCTTGATATGTGTTTAACATGCTTGACATGTGTTTAACAAGCTTGATATGTGTTTAACAAGCTTGATATGTGTTTAACAAGCTTGATATGTATTTAACAAGCTTGATATGTGTTTATCAAGCTTGCATGATATGTGTTAATCAAGCTTGACATGTGTTTAACAAGCTTGACATGTGTTTAACAAGATCAATATGTGTTTAACAAGCTTGACATGTGTTTAACAAGCTTGTTATGTGTTTAACAAGCATGTTATGTGTTTAACAAGCTTGACATGTGTTTAACAAGCTTGACATGTGTTTAACAAGCTTGACATGTGTTTAACAAGCTTGACATGTGTTTAACAAGCTTGATATGTGTTTAACAGGCTTGATATGTGTTTATCAAGCTTGACATATTTAAATGAAGTTTCTCTGCAAAACTGTCGATTGATTTGCAACCATATTTTAATGAAGTTTCTCTGCAAAACTCGATTGATTTGGAATCATATTTTAATGAAGTTTCTCTGCAAAACTGTCGATTGATTTGCAACCATATTTTAATGAAGTTTCTCTGCAAAACTGTCGATTGATTTGCAACCATATTTAAATGAAGTTTCTCTGCAAAACTGTCGATTGATTTGCAACCATATTTAAATGAAGTTTCTCTGCAAAACTCGATTGATTTGCAATCATATTTTAATAAAGTTATTCTGCAAAACTGCCGATTGATTTACAACCATATTTAAATAAAGTTTTTCTGCAAAACTGACGATTGATTTGCAACCATATTTTAATAAAGTTATTCTGCAAAACTGACGATTGATTTACAACCATATTTAAATGAAGTTTTTCTGCAAAACTGTCGATTGATTTGCAACCATATTTTAATGAAATTTCTCTGCAAAACTGCAAAATAACCTTACCTGCATGTCTACTGTATATAGATAAAAGAAACAGAAAGCCACGATCATTCCGCTAAAAAATGCTTATTACTGTCGAGTGTTTATTACAGGGTTGCCCATCAGAGGCGTATTCAGGGGGGGGGCTATGGGGGCTAAGCCCCCCCTGGACCAGTGAAATCTATTGATTTCAGGAGGTTTTCAGGCCCTAACGGGTGCTGAGCCCTCCCCCCCCTGGAAAGATACAAAAATTTAAACCCCCCTTCTGGAAAAATTCCTAAATACGCCCCTGTTGCCCAGAGATTAGATTTAAGAGACGACTGTTAGGAATATATTTAGTCTTGTATCTCTAATTAAAAGTTCCCTGCAGATGTAAAAAAAAAATATTTGCCAACTCATTCATATGACATTTTAGACAATATTTAAGGCAAAAATCCGAAATAAATCTTTAAAAGAGTTTTATAGGTCGTCATTGAAGTCCCATCCGTGAGTATCTTGTCACTGTCACTAGGTGTTATAATCAGAAAGGAAATATATGTGTTTAGGAATGAGTCTATTGAAGATGGTGTTGAAGACAAGATTGTGGATTCAGTTTGCTTCAAATCTATCTTTATGAAGGCCTTGCTAACTCAAGGATACAAGATAGATGCAGAGAATTACTCCAAGATTAGGGTATTTTTTTTGAAAATATTCTGGACATAGCTAAGTAATTTAACATTTTTAAGTGGTAGAGCCCCCTGGAAAAAGAGAGAGCAGGCACCTTCAAGCCCTTTAATTTTGATTTTTTTAATAGATTAAAAAAAAATTTGCCTGCGGAGCCACTTTTGTACTCAAAATAAAGATTTTTTTTATAAATATACAAATCTTGCCAACACATTTCACATTTTCCACCCCTGGCCGCTTGATGGTTTGACAAATTCCATGTAAAAAAATTCCAGGGGGGGGGATACAAAATTTCGACAAGCCTCGTGCGCAATTATTTATTATTTATTTATTCCCCCCCCCCCCCGGAAAATATCATAAGCCGCCCATGGGTACTGTAGAAAAATTACTAAAAATACCATATGTAAGGATTTTATGTGCCAGCGTTTCAATTTTTTAATTCACAATATCTTCATTGTAAAACTAACTAGGGAACCCAGCTTTGTCTGGAAACTCGCTTATCTTTAAACTTTTAAACCAAGCTAATTTGATTTCTGTGGTTCTATCAAGTTCCCCAATTAGCATTTTCAGCAAATTGGGCATGGGGTTCCTGAGTTATGACTCATTAACAAATAAAGCTTATGAATCTATTAATACAGAGGCTTTTAATTAGATTAGCTAATTTCTGAAAATTATGAAAAATTGTTTTATTGTTTATTTGTTTCATAGAAAAACATTTATATTATTTTTGCATTTTTTGTAAGTTTGTGAAGCGGGCAGGCAGTGCAGAGGTCGGGTGGACGCTAGGGCACAGTATACTAGTCAGCAACAGTATACCAGAAATACAACCCAAAATTTATCTAAGGTGTATGTTTACACTAGGTTGGGGACCCAGCTTTGCCGGAAAACTAAACTTTTTCTATTAAAGTCAACCCATTCAACTAAATTATCCAGTCACCCAGACTATGTGAACACTGGCAGGAATAGCATTTAGAAGACGACAGTTATCACTTTATGGAATGTATGTGCTATGCTGATTGGACTTCTGTCGTGTGCACTTCTGAATATTTGAACTCCCTAATCATTTAACTATACGGAGCTGTATTCAAGTGTTTTATTTCAATTGAACCTTATTTTAAAAGAGTGCTCATTGGAACGATTTCTTCAGCAAATAAGTAAAAAGCTCAAAAGAACAAAAAAATTATTCTTAAAAACCAAAAAATGTTTTGATTTGAACTACAGAAATTAACGTAATGCTTATGACGAAAATGAACAATTTGTTTTAATATTCAATAGTTCATAAGGTCAGTAGTTCTAATTACATCTTAAAGTGGTGGTTAAATTGTTTATTTTTGATATCTTAAGCCTGGTGTTTGTAAAGTCTGGGTTACGTGAACTTGATTAAAGGGTATTTTAAGTGACTCTAGTCTATGCAAAGATTATAATTCCCGATTTACAACGGTAATTTCAAAACCTTTGATGGAATTAGATTTGCATGTTTTTGTTTTTTTTTTTAAATGTTTTTTTTTCATTTGTGGTTTCAGTGGAAAACTGACTTGCGCTTTCTTGCTTATGGAGGGTCACTTGAAATTACGCGTACAGTCCCTTTAACTGTTATCTAAATCTAGTGATATGATGTTTGTGGTTCTACTTGCACTCTCTACAGGGTTTGCGCTGCTCTCCTTCTTCTTCTCTTATCAGGTCAAATATATTCAGTATTTCTTTGAAAGGGGGAGTTAGTCTAGACGAATAGTATTGATATTTTAAGAGACTGTAGACCTAATTTCAAGTGACCCTACATTTCAGGGATAGGTGGAGTTTCTCATTATAGTAGTGGTATTTAAAGATACTGAGACCTAATTTCAAGTGACCCTACATTTCATTGATAGGGGGAGTTTCTCATTATAGACTTATAGTATTGATATTTAAAGAGACTGTAGACCTAATTTCAAGTGACCCTACATTTCAGGGATAGGTGAAGTTAGTCATTATAGACTTATAGTGATATTTAAAGAGACTTTAGACCTAATTTCAAGTGTTCTTTCATTTCAGTGATAGGGGAGTTAGTCATTATAGGATTATAATAGTGATATTTAAAGAGACTGTAGACCTAATTTCAAGTGACCTTCCATTTCAGGGATAGGGGGAGTTAGTCATTATAGACTTATAGTAGTGATATTCAAAGGGAGTGTAGACCTAATTTTAAGTGGCCCTCCATTTAAAGCGGGATATGTCAGATTAACAATGGTGGTACCGCTGGTGTCCATTAAAACTTTATCTCATCAATAATGTCAAGTCACCAAACTTAGGGTCACTAAATATTACATTTAAACTCTACAATCCTTCTTGAAGAAATTACGATTGGCAGTTAGACACTTTGTTCTTGAAAAAGGTTTATAATTAGGATTAACACCAAAGTGATGTGGCTAAGCTAGGTTGTTTAGGATTGACACCCAAGTGATGTGGATAACCCAAGATTGTTTAGTAAGGTTGCTTGCTTTCGATGCGTTTCATTGTCGTCTCCTAAACAGGGAATGGACAGTGGAATCCGTAAATGGTTATAGAGGTGAGTAAAGGGATCAGTGAAGCGATTAACGGATTTTACGGTCCTTTTCTTAGGATACAACATTTTCCCTACAATTGAGCGTATCGAGAGTAAGCAACCTTGCTAACCATTTACCAGTAATTTTGTGCATTTTAGGCGCGCTTGACAAGCCGTGCAAGTAGAAATTACCAAAGGTTTGGTCCTGAGATATAGTATTTTGTGTTTATAATACATAAACATCCTTCATATACCTGGGATCCTTGCATTCCTCGTCCTCCCAGATACAATCCTTCCAGATACAGTCCTTCCAGATACAAACCTTCCAGATACAGTCCTTCCATATACAGTCCTTCCAGATACAGTCCTTCCAGATACAGTCCTTCCAGAAACAGTCCTTCCAACTACAGTCCTTCCAACTACACTCCTTCCAGATACAGTCCTCCCAGATACAATCCATCCAGATACAGTCCTTCCAGATACAGCCCTTCCAGTTACATTCCTTCAGATACATTCCTTCCAGATACAGTCCTTCCAACTACAGTCCTTCCGGAACAGTCCTTCCAGATACAGCCCTTCCAGTTACATTCCTTCAGATACATTCCTTCCAGATACAGTCCTTCCAACTACAGTCCTTCCGGATACAGTTCTTACAGATACTTCAATCCCCTCTCAAATTTTCGATGTCATATTTACTCCTTTTCCTGTCCTTTTGTCCTGTTTGTGGCATGTACTAGCTTGTACTGTAATTGAGTGTACTGCACTGATTGTTTACTAGTTTGGGTAATTTTAATTAGTTAGAAATATTGTACTTACTGTAAAAATCTACAGGCATACCCAAAAAAGATGACATAATGATCTGAAGAAGCAAATTAGTCTTCTGCTTTCAATAAAAATTTTAATTGGAATATACAAAAGATTGAAACAAATTTCACACTGCAGGGGGGTCTTGCTACAGAAAACCTACAGAGATTTTAATACTTCTCTTAATTTTCATTCTTTCCTGGTATACCCTGTGCTCCTGTATATTTTTTTTGATTACTTTGAATGGGTTTTTCTTTGTTTTCGTAAAATTAAGAAAGAAATATATTAGTTTTTACCAAATATTCCGGCCATAGCATAAAATATTTCAGTTTTTCATGTTTATCATATTTCCACCATTTTATCCCCCCACTTTTTATAAAATTTTGTCTAAGAAGAAATTACTCCTAGATTAATATCAAAGAATGTAAATTCAATTCAAATTAATCATTGCAAGCATTCTCAAAATTAGTTTTACTTCAAAAGAATATTTAGATTAAAAAACTTAAATATTTTTTATTTCTTAGTAAATAAATGAATTTATAAGAATGTCTAGAGAAATTCAAAATATGATTGATTAAAATTGATTTTAAGTGAAATTTTCTTTCTGTGCCAAAAAGGGAATTAAATTCTTTTTATCTTTTGTACAATGTGCTCTATTTATAGTGTATACTATTGTACAAGAAAATTTTTAAGTACAACAGTGCACACTGAAAACAAAAAACTAAAGTATACTGTATACAATGTTTGATGCCATATCGATTTGATTAATAGCTGATGGAACTAAAGTTAGCTGTTCACAAACCGAGTTTTAGTCCATTTGAACATAAGTAAATTATAAACAAAATGAAAACTTTTTTTTAACAATTTATTTTTGAATTTAAATCTTTTTTGAACAAAAAAAAAAGATCAGTGAAATTTTTTTCTCCGACTGATATATCTTCTTTTATATGATCATACATCTGTTTTCTGTTCCTCTTTTGTAGATCTACGCGTTCTAATCTCCTTGTAGACAAAGGAGATATGCATTTTGACACACTTTTTTTGCCTTTGTTTCTTCCTAATATTCCGCATATTTCCTAGAGCTGCAGCTCTCTTTTTGGCAATTTTCTTGGCGCCAGAAATATCAAATAGAAAGTTACTGTTTGTGAATAGATATCAGATGTATTTGCAGTTTTCAGTATTGTTTTTTGATCCAGGAATGTCTGACTCTACAACTGTTGAAGGTTAGCTTCAAACACAATTTCCTCAATATTGTTTCAGGTTGAAAAAAAGTCACTGCACTAAGCGGGGTTGGAAAATTCTGAGGATATCCATTGTCAGAATTCCGCCTTAATAATACAAATGGGATAAAAAAGGTTAGGCTAGGAGTGAATATTTTCGACAAAAGAATTCTTGATTCTTGTAAGTTCATCTAGGACACAGTGCTTCAGAATACAGCCTCGTCTACAGCAATCTTTTCCTCACAGCAGGCAGAGTTTAACCTGGTAGCATAGTGCATAGTGCACAACCAATCAGGATTCTGCTTTCTATATTTCCATTTTCCTTGTTTTTGGCAAGAGGGAAGGAGAAGAGAGAGAGAGAGAAACCCCTCCTTCTCTGCACTATTATTTTCTTTTTTTTCCAAATAGGGTGTACAGCCATGTTAATCCACACAGGGTTTGTTCAGCCACAAGAAACTGAAGAGAGTTGTATAAGAACTGTGCTGAGCTCCCTTGATGCTTACACATAGAACCAGATTCAATCAAAAGAATTAACGTCTTTCCAACAAATTCGGATACACTGAACAAAATAAAAACTTAAATTAACAAACATTTGGTTCATTTAGAAATAATTGAAGATATATTTTAACACATGGGCAATTGGCCATCATCATTTTATAAATCTTTGGCCTCATTGCTGGCCCCCTAGCCTTTCCTAGTTCTGTCGCTCTACCCCTTACCATGTCTTAGCCACAGCACTCAAATCTCTAGCCTGGACTAGCCACAGCACTCAAACCCTTAGTTTTTTCTAGTCCGGTTGCTCGACCCCTTACCATGTCCTAGCCACAGCACTCAAAACTCTAGCTTGTCTTAGCCACAGCTCTCAGCCCATTAATTGGCGTAACCTAACCTGACCCTCAAATATTAAGATTACATAATATAATTCTTGTGTAAAAAATACCTATAACTTGATAGCTGGCGTTTTTTTTTTAAATTGAAAAATAATGCCAATTAAAGAAATATTTGTTCTAAATGACTACAGTTCTTTTGATCATTAGACTTAATTAACATTACTCCAAACAAACTTTAGTCCGTCGACAATTAGTCCAATTGATATGGTACCCAATGAACACAACAACACCTTATTGTACAGTCAGCTTTTTTTGTACTGTGTACACTGTACAGTTAAGAGTTTACTGTTCAGGAAATTCCACAAGAATATGCACTACTGGACTCAAGCCTACTCAGCCCTTTTAGAACACTCTTCAAGGCACAAATATTTTAAGATTGTTTATAATCGCTTCTTCATTTCTTAGAAGTTGTTCATTTTATGAAAGATAGTTAAAAAATATTGGATTGGATATCATTCTAAAAACCTAAATAGTTATCATTCTAAAAACCTTAAAAACCTAAATATTAGATATCATACAAAAAACCTAAACATACTAAAAACCTAAATATTAAATATCATACTAATAACCTAAATATTAGATATCATACTAAAAACCTAAATATTAGATACTAAAAACCTAAATATTAGATAAAGTACTAAAAACCTAAATATTAGATATCATTCTAAAAACCTAAATATTAAATATCATACTAAAAACCTAAATATTAGATATCATAATAAAAACCTAAATATTAGATACTAAAAACCTAAATATTAGATATAATACTAAAAACCTAAATATTAGATATCATTCTAAAAACCTAAATATTAATTATCATACTAAAAACCTAAATATTAGATATCATACTAAAAACCTAAAGATTAGATACTAAAAACCTAAATATTAGATAAAATACTAAAAACCTAAATATTAGATATCATTCTAAAAACCTAAATATTAGATATCATACTAAAAACCTAAATATTAGATATCATACTAAAAACCTAAATATTAGATATCATACTAAAAACCTAAATATTAGATATCATACTAAAAACCTAAATATTAGATATCAATAAGGAATAAAGAAGGAATTAAATTCTCTAAACTTTAACTAAATATATTTGTTCAGTGAAAGAAAATGGGGGAAAAGTTAATATTCCAGAATCTGAAGAAGGAGTAAATCAAAATTCATCGTTTTTGAGAAATTTTAAATCTTAATCCTCAGCTTTATTTATGTTAAAGGAACTGGAAACGTAATTTCAAGGAACCTTGCAATTTGTACAGTGGCATGATGACGGAGAATTACTTATTTTTCAGACTGAAAATTGAGTGCCGGGAAACTGGTGGGTACAGTGTTCACTGTACCGCAGTATACATTGAACACTCGAAAATTTGTCAGTGTACACTTGAATTTCCCCGCACGTCTTTTTAAGTTAAAAATATAAGAACATCTCAGGCATCAAAAACTGAGGTGTTTATTGTAACGTTGTGAATCGTTCATGTCACTCTATAAATGAAGGGTAACTTCAAGTTACAGTACCTTAAAGTTTAAAGTGGAACTCGAGGCAACTCTTCCCTATGTAACGATCTCAGCTTTTAAAATATACTTTTAATGTAAACACTTAAAAAAAATATTATATTTTCACTCTGTGAATTACAAAATAAATTTTCAACTTTCTAAATTTAAATGGCTCCGGTGAATAGTAGAAATACATTAATCTTAAATGTTGTAAAATTAAATCGCTGAATTCTTGCTCAATTGTAAAAATCATACAAGAATTAATTTATCTCTATTTTGTGATGTTCATTCAAAAATATTTTAATTTTTTTATGTTTGTACCTAAATATTATCTGTGTAAATAAACTGGAAAATTTATTTTCAGGTAAAATGTCTGGAGGACGAAAGGAAACTGAGAAACTGGAACAGAATCTACAAATCCAGGAACACATTTAATTCTTTCTTATTTTTCTCTGCGATATCGAAGATCGGAAGTTTTGCGTGGATATTAATAATCTTTAACGATTAATCGCAATCCCTAAAGTTATCTCTGCAGGATATCAAGTAATTCGTAGTTCTATTAATCAATGCCTGGCATTTTTTTCTCATGAAAACAATTTGTATAATTAAATGGAAATTTAGTTTTCTCTAATCGGAATTGAATTTCTCGAAAAATACCAAGAAAGTTTTATATCTCGAAAAATCAAAAACTAAAGTTAATATTAGTCTGAGCTTAGAGTTATGAATCTTGGAATTGAATATTGATCTCCAATCTCCGTGTTATGCAAAACTACCGATAAATTTAATTCCACTTCTTTATCCCATGCGGGTCATTTCCTGCAGGGATTATTATAATTGATGGATCAATGAGGCTAAGGGGGGGGGATGAAGGGGAAAGTCCCCCTGGAAAAATTAAGGCACAAGAAGAGAAAGCAGGCAACTTTAACCCTTTAATTTGGAGTTTCAAGCACGGATATATAATAAAATGGATGGATCATAGACGAGTTTCGATGTAATTTTCTGGGTGGGGTGTTATGCAGTACATTGGAGTTCTAGCAGACAATGGACCCTGGACCAGCTCTTTCATAATTCCTTTCTTATTTAGCCAAACTGAATTTTAGAAGGGGGGGGGGCGGTTTGTTTAATTCCCTTGTGTAGTATTAATGTTTAAACTTTATTTCAAAGATAGCTTAATTATCGTTGCCCCCCGACCTTTTTAAAGGCTTAAACATAAATAATACTGAGGATTCAAAATAATAAATATATTTTTGACTATAAGA